CTTGATGGAAAAGACATTACCTGTTGAAGGGTGGGCAGATTACATTTATTGATAGCATCCTCAGTAGCATACCTTGTTCGTCCAATGGCAAGATCTGGAGGATGAGGTCAAGCACCACATAATATGAGGTAAAAGATCGAAATTGTTTGCCAACTGTCAGATTTTGGTTGGAATGAGCAATTGCAAGTGTATTAGTAGAAGGGGTTGGGGGTTGGAATGGCTTCCTTGAGAATATCCTGTTCTTAAGAGCTGAATACTGGTCAAGTTGTTGGCTGGGACATTTGCCTTTAAATGATACTGTCTGTTGTATTTTGGCTGAAAACTGAGTTGCATTGGCACCGGACGAAGATACTCTATATCAGTTATTTGCACAAACCGAGAACAAGGGGGCATCAAATCACCTCAGGCCCTCTGGTAATTCTTATCCCTGAATTTTTAGCTTTAGAAGAACTACAATCACCGAGAAATGTAGCTTGTCAACAAGACCTACTGGGGGATGCCTTTGTAGGAGGAAGGATGAATCTACTCGGACACTCTACCAATGGACTTGTCTCTGGTAAATCCTCTTTCTCATTCTATCTGGTAACATTTAGCGTAGTGAGGATGTTCCTTGAAAAAACAAATTGAAACAGGTGGTCCTCCTTGAGTTCATGATTTGAATAGAATCACTTGAATCCAACTTTAACCCCCCATACATTCTCCAGTGAGAGATAGAAGACTGGCAAACTTCTGCTTCCATTTTAGGAAATCAGAGTCGTCGTTCAGCCACTTGTTTCTTCACTTGTGAGACTGTCCGTGATCTCTGCACATGTTATATTCTCGTTTCAGCATACCATGTAACAATCTTGAAACGCTTCGCACTTGTTCAGAGAATGATCTATTAGTTAATATTTTGTGATTAGCTCTACTTAACTAGTTTTGACAACGATATGAAAGTCTGATAGTGTCTTGTCTTAGATTGCTAGTATTACATGTTTTCGTATTATCTTCTGCTTCGGTTTTCTAGTATCTTGCCCTTGTTACTACTTGTTGCTATTGCTTTCTTCCATCTATTTTTCTGGCTCTTAGATTGATGGTATTATCTTTCTGACCTTTGTTGTTATTAGTGTTTGTTTTTATTGTTTCTTTTTATCTTCTTGAGCCGAGGGTCTATCGAAAATAGCCTTTCTACCCCCATGCTAGGGGTAAGGTCTGCGTACGCACAACCCTCATCAGACCCCACTTGTGGGGTTCCACTGGGTTTGTTGTTGTTGACAACGATATGAAAGTCGAAATAGCAGCAACCAAGCTGCCATACATCTCCGCTTTGTTACATATCTACTCTGGTTTTATTTCGAACATCTTTTTAACCTATTCTCTTTATCGTATTATAGGACATTCAAAACACTCGGATAAGATGAGAAAGAAGCTGGTTTTTCGTGGGATTGATAAAGTAGCGACTAAAATGAAAAACAATAAATATTTATGCTCTTGTATTTTACAAGCTAATTGATTTATTATAAATATACTTTATTTGGAATTCACATTATGTTTTTTATTATCCAAATTATCCTATAAAACGAGAATTTGTCGCAGTTGTCTATTTGGCATCAAGTAATTTAAAAGGGGTGATATATAATTACAATTAAATTAACACACACATTAAAATTAACTTTTCTAGTTAATGAAGTATATATAATTAACTTTTGTATGTAACATATATATATATATATATATATATATATATATATATTATATGNTCTAAGTATATTTGTCAAATTACTGACAAGCCTGTAAAGTTGTCCTTTTAAGTAAAGGAAGTATATTTTATCGAATGTAAACAGTTTTTGACGTTGGTTGAAAGTGATAATACTCCTAAGATCTGTCAAATTACTGACAGGCCTGTAAAGTCGTCCTTTTAAGTAAAGGAAGTATATTTTATCGAATGTAAACAGTTTTTGACGTTGGTTGAAAGTGATAATACTCCTAAGATCTGTCAAATTACTGACAGGCCTGTAAAGTCGTCCTTTTAAGTAAAGGAAGCATGTTTCATCTAATCGGAAGTAATTACTATCTGTATAATGATTACTGAATAAACTGTGATTGATTATTTATTTTGTAAAGTACCAGTAAACAAAGAAAATAGGAAACAATTACTTGTGGCAAGAAGGGAAAAGAAATAAGGACTGTGTATTTTCTGCCCATGTTTTCGCTATAGTTAAAAATAATTAAATGAATTAAAATTTTCTTCCAAATTGTATAGAAGCAAAATTAACAACAAAAATCTAAAATAGAGGAAATCTTTTGCCTAAACCTTCTCTTTTCTTCTTTTCCTTAAATTGTCATAGCAAGCTTAAATTAGATCATGAGAGACGTAAAAAGGAAAGGTAGTACACTGTATACGGTCAAAGTTAGGTATATCCGATTTAGTGGGTTCGAGGAATCGCTTTAAGAATAAGTCCGAAATAGACTGGGCTCGAGCCCGATGGCGGAGTTAAAATTTCGAAGATCAAAGTGTCCGATGAATATCAAGGCCGAGCATAACCAGCCTCGAGATAATACCATTGTGGTTTTGTAACAGAAAAAGCAAGATTCCCGCAATGGCCCAAAGTTCAAGGCGTAAATTCCGAACATATTTGTACGAATTCGTACTAGGCGGTTAGACAGGTGTACAATTAGATTCCTTACTAAAAACAGAAATGTACCTTATTTATCACTCCCATATTATATAAAGGAGAGCCCATTCATTTGTAACATCATCAATCATTGACAAAAGAATATACATCCTTACTTTCTTGCTCAGTACTCTTCAGAATAGTCTTTTAACTTTATTGTTCTTATTTTATCATTCTCATTGACCTACCTCGAGGCCACCTTAGCTCGAGGTCGAGACTCGCTCACACACTGGTTTGATTCAGCTTGCTTATTTAATTTATACGTTTGATTTCTTGGTTATCAGTTGGTATTGGACTAATCACGTATCTTTAAGACATCAATACAAATTTAATTGTTGCTCGGATTTTAGGAGTAATCAGTTTGGCGTCCACCGTGAGGCTAAAGATAATAGTGATTACTTCAGGACTGATTCTGATAATGCACAATATTTTTCACACTTGTTTTTGTCAAGAATTTTTTGCTTTCAGGATAAAGCATGCCAAGTTTTGCTTTCAGGATAAAGCATGCCAAGCTCACAAAATGCACTCGTGCATGACAATGATGGTCTTGGATCTCACGGTGAAAACGATCATGTAGTTGCTCCAGGAGTCGGGGTGCCACCTATTAACCCTGGGGAAGTACCGATTGCCAACCCGATCGATGTCAGTTCACTCATTGCTTTGCACGCATACCTCGAAGGGAGCATACGCAGAGAAGAGCGACCGAATGGCCAAGGAACACAGGATGTAGGAAATGGGGGAGTTAGTCTCCGAGTAATATTCGAGATGTTGCATGCTCAACAGGCCGCTATTGCTCAGCTTCAAAGTTTACATAGAACTCCGAATGTAATAGAGCCGGAAATCAATCACCGTATTGAGCCAGTGCTGGAAAGAATGAATGGCAGTAGATCAGGGGTTGATCCTGCGATTATGAAAATGCTCGAGGAGCTCACCAAAAGAATCGAGTCAGGAGAAAAGAAAATCGAAGATAATGACACAAAAGTGGAAACATATAACTCCCGAGTTGATCAGATACCAGGGGCACCCCTGATCTTAAAGGGTTTGGATTCAAAAATATTCGTGCAAAAGCCTTTTCTCCAGAGTGCAGCTCCGAAGCCTATCCCAAAGAAGTTCCGTATGCCGGATATACTGAAAGACAACGGGACCACCGATCCTAATGAATATATCACTACGTACACATATGGTATAAGGGGAAATGAATTAGAAGACGATGAGATCGAGTCCGTTTTGTTGAAATTTTTTGGGGAAACTCTATCAAAGGGAGCAATGATTTGGTATCACAATTTGCCACCGAATTTCATCGATTCATTCGCAATGTTAGCAGATTCATTTGTGAAAGCGCACACCAGGTCCATAAAGGTCGCTACGAGGAAATCAGACGTCTACAATATAAGACAAAGGGATATCGAAATGTTGAAGGAGTTCATGTCCCGATTTCAAATGGAACGTATGGAGTTACCACCGATCTCCGATGATTGGGCAGTTCAAGTTTTCACTCAGGGTTTGAACGAGCGAAGTTCGAGTGCATCATGATAGTTAAAGCAAAATTTGGTCGAGTATCCAGATGTAACTTGGGCAGATGTGCATAATTGTTATCAATCGAAGATCAGAGTCGAGGACGACTAGGTGGGAGCCCCCTCGGGTTCAGTTCATCTAAACAGATTAGTAGTTAAAGCCCCGAGGGACACCGACAGGGAACCACGGTCAAATAGAGAACGGTATCAGCCATATGTCGCAGATCGAAGAAATAATAGTTTGGGGCGCAATCCTCCTCATGGCCGAAGAAATGATCGATGTCGAAGTTCTCGGGGACTTATGAGTATGAATGGTTTTGATAAACATACTGATCCAGCAGAAGCGCCTCAGTTATCGGAGTGTAATTTTAGTGTCGATGCATCGGGGATTGTATCGTCTATCCGAAGGATGAAAGACACCAGGTGGCCCAAACCTTTGCAGATCGATCCTTCTCAAAGAAACCCAAATTTTGATGTGTAAATATCATGGTACACATGGCCATAAGACCGAAGATTGCAGGTAGCTGAGGGAGGAGGTAGCTCAGTTGTTCAACGAGGGGCACCTTCGAGAGTTCCTTAGTGATCGAGCTAAGAATCACTTCAGAAAAAGAGATGCCAACAGAAAGAATGAGCAGGAAAAACTGTAGCATGTAATTCATATGATCGTTGGTGGGGTCGACGTTCCACAAGGGCCTATATTCAAATGTACCAAAGTGTCGATCACCAGAGAAAAGTTGACTCGAAGTTATGTGCTCGAAGGCATCCTGACATTCGACGATGAATAAGCGGAGGGCATTTCTCAGCCGCATAACGACGCCCTGGTAATTTCTATTTTGTTAAATAAAATTCAATTTAAACATGTTCTAGTGGATGCAGGTAGCTCAACAAATATAATTAGATCGAGGGTCGTGGAGCAGATCGGCCTGCAGGCCCAAATTGTACGTGCATCTTGAGTCTTAAACGACTTCAACATGACAAGTGAAATAATGAAGGGGGAGATAATCCTACCAGTAAACGTGGCCGGGACCATCCAAGATACAAAATTACATGTCATTGAAGGCGACATGAGATATAATTCACTATTGGGGAGGCCATGGATCCACAACATGAGGGCAGTACCGTCGACCCTTCATCAAATGATGAAATTTCCAACAGTGGATGGTGTGAAAATAGTTTACGAGAACAACACGCTGTAAAGGAAATATTTGCAGTTGATGAGGTGACACCGATACCGGCGCATTGATAAGCAAGCGACCAACTAGCAATCACCGTCCCCAGCCTCGACAGAATCGGAGAAACAGGTGATCGAAGAAGAAGAAAAAGATTTCCTTACTCTTTCAACTTTCGTTGTTCTCGAAGAGTCAGATGCAACCAAGTCAACGGTCGATGAGCTGGAACAGATCATACTGATCGAGTATATGCTTGAGATAAAGGTATACCTGGGAACGGAGTTAACCCCCAAACTCAGGAAAAAACTCATTCAATTTCTTATCGATAACATGGATTGTTTTGCTTGGTCCTATTTAGAAATAACAGGGATCCCACCAGAAATAACAACACACCGACTGATCCTCGACCCTAGGTTCAAACCGGTGAAGCAAAAGAGGAGGCCTCAATCCGAGGTGAAGCATGATTTCATAAAGATGAGGTAACCAAAATTCTTAAAATAGGGTCCATTCGGTAGGTAAAATATCCTGAATGGTTAGCCAATGTAGTTGTAGTCCCTAAAAAAGGAAACAAACTTAGAATGTGTGTAGATTATAAGGATTTGAACAAGGCATGCCCTAAAGATTCTTTTCCGT